CAATATATTTTTGTACTTTTAGTTTAAAAATGATAACATCCTACAATATTTTTACAGTCTTTATTTTACAGTTAAAATATATGTTTATTAAATAAAGTCTAATGTTACAACTAATCATGGATCCCTTTAATGTTCAGCAGTCTTGGAAACTTCATGTAACACCTCTTCTTTCTGGAGTTTTTAATCTCAAGTCAAGAACTTCATATTTTTAAAAGGTCTGTTGATGTACAGTATGTAGGAGATAACATTAAAGAGGCTCCCAAAACTACAAGAAAATGCTGTTCCTAAAGGGATAGTTTGTATTTTTACAGTGGAATTAATATCTATTTGGAGAAATAGAGCTTTACTTTGACCAAATTAAACAGACTGATGTAGTTAAAGAAGTGGTCTACAACATATGATATGTTTATTATTCATCTCCTGTTGCAAGACACCAAAACTATAGCAGACTGCGTTGTCATCTTTTCTCTCTCAGGTCATGGTGTTTGCGACTGCGGCTTCTGCCAGTGTGCGCCAGACTGGCAGGGAGAAAACTGCAACTGCTCCAGACGCACCGACACCTGCATGTCCAGCCTGGGTCTGCTGTGCAGCGGGAGGGGACAGTGTGTCTGCGGGGTCTGTGAGTGCACACAGCCGGGGGCTTACGGGGCCACGTGTGACAAGTGCCCCACCTGTCCGGACGCCTGCACCATGAAGAAGTGAGTCCGCCGGTGCACGTGTGTAGATGCCGCGTTCGAGTTTCAGAGAACCGGAGCGTAGTCGATCTGTTTGTGTTGTTAATGTTTGTTTCTCTGTTTTTTTTGTGTGTGTGTTTGTTCTGACAGGCAGTGTGTGGAGTGTAAACACTTCACGAGGGGCACMTTGTACGAGGACAACACCTGCAGTCGAATCTGCAAGGATGAGATCATGCTTGTGGATGAAATAGGTGAGATATGATTGATCAAAGCTCCAGCCAGAAAACAAAATCCTTAAAAGTTGGTAGCTGCTTGTAGTACTTAACAATKTTTAACTGAATTTCTGGGCTAACTAGTTAACTATATTATTCACAGTATAAAAATAGAGAGTGAAACCTGAGTGCTGAATAACTGCTGAACAATGTTCAAGAAGCTGAAACTGAGTTGTTAAAGTTGAATCAATTGGTAAAAGCAGGAGGACTGTGGGCTGCAGAGAGGACAGCCCCTGCACTGCAGAGCAGGAGGAAATGAGGATGGCAGAACTTATTTCTAGCGGCAGAGTAGGTTGGAAGATGGTTATTTGATGTTATTTGACATCCTACAGGCTCTGACATGTTAAATAAATTTGAAACTTAGTTTTTGAAAAATTCTGTAAAACTTGAAAAAATCCGTGAGATTGCTTTATACGTCCGTACACCTYTAGCCTGGCCCTTGCCTTCCWARGCAGTTCCGCTCAATTCTAGRTTCCCTTCACTGCTCCGTCTGGGARTTCTCCCATAGACAAGGATTTTGCTGGCAGATTTTTAGCCAATCAGAGAACAGAACGTCAATTTTCTGCTCAGTGTCTGCTTGTAGTTTATTTTACCTGGGCCAATCAGAGTACAGAAGGAGGAGTTATGAACGACGTCAAATTTCTGCGCAGTGTCTGCTAGTTATTTTAACATACGGCAGTGGAGGAAGTGAATGAAGCCAGTCCMTGTTGATAAGGCTTCCAAATTAAATTAAATTTGTCTGACAAAGCAGCAGCTCTCATTTACAGTCGCCTCGTTCGGCTCGGTATATTTCTCCTCTCAGTAGGGTTGTTTACAGCACACGCGATTTCCGGTTAGCTTCTTAGCTTAGCCTCCTTCACAGSGACAACACACACGCTTCAGCAGAGGCCACGCCTCCTGCAAGAATCGCTTATCAATAGTAGAGAGTCCAGACCCTCCYTCCMAAGCAAAGTGAAGGACAAGGGTCTGGTTTTAACCAGGCTAGTATYCCTGCAAAATGAGGGYAATTTTGTGTAAATTACAGACAATCTGTACAAATTGTCATGCATGCTAAAGAAAAGCTAAAATAGCYTTAGCAAATTCTAAACCTTAAAATTAGCAAAACAATAGCTGAAAGTCAAAACTAGCAAAATGYTAGCTAAAAGTAAATATTAGCTAAACAATTGCCAAAAAGACAAAATTGGCAAAATAGTTGCTATAAAACAAAATTACCTAAAGAAAAATACTAACATGAACAAGACAATTGCTAAAATCTAAAGTTAGCAAAAGAAAAGCCAAAGTTACCTTAACAAAAGCTAAAATTAGCAAAGCAATAGCTGAAAGCCAAAACTAGCAAAATGCAATTATTATTTTCAATTAATTTCTGTTATTTAACCAGGCAAATCCCACTGAGATCTCAGATCTCTTTTTCTGGGCGGCCTGGGCCTGAAGGCAACCTATTAATAAAAATGATAGCTAAAAGTAACAATTAGCTAAACATATGCCAAAAAAAAATCCAACAAAATTAGGAAAATAGTAGCTATAAGCTAAAATGACTAAACTAGTAGCTAAAAGAGCTTTGAGATGGACTTGAGACCTGTCCAGGGTGTACCTCRTTGCACAGTGTCTGCTGGATATGGACACCAATGACCCTGTGACCCTGAAAGGAAGAGGCAGGTAAAAGATAATGGATGGATGGCTGATAGTAGCATAAAGATAAAACTTCTAAAAGCAGTACCTAAAAGCTAATGTTGTATGCTAAAGTACAAAATGTTTTTTTTAAGGGTTTGAAAGATTTACTTCTTTTGTCACGGTATAGTTGTGGTTCTTCCCAAAGATACAGAATGACACTGATTTTTCTTTTTCGTCCATCTGTTTTGTCGCCACAGCGACTCATCCTTGTCCATCTGACTCTGTCCTTTGCATCCTCTGTCCTCACTCCAACTACGTCCATGTCCTCTGTGCATCCATCTTCTCTTTGGCCTAATTCTTCTATGTCTTTTTATTGGCAGTTGCATTTCTAATACCCTTCTGTCAATATACCAACTGTCCCATTCTGGACAGTTCCTGGACATATACAGACAGGTACAATGACAAGAAGAAAGAGTTGTTAAAAATGAACAAAAATAACTGGCATGGCAGCCACACAAGATAACAGAACAAACACTAAAAGAGGAGAATCAGATATGGAAAAAAGCACAATGATAAACAAAAAGAAATAAATAGACATGGCTGATYAGGTGAGTGGAGACAACTGAGTGAAGACAGGTGTTAATGGGAGGGACAAGACGGTAAATGACAGACTGGGGATAAATATTTCCTTGATATTTTTCACACAGAGCTCCATTACACAAARGCTGTGAACTGCTCTTACAAAGATGAAAACGACTGTGTGGTGCGCTTCCAGTACTACGAGGATGTCAGTGGCAAATCCATCCTGTTTGTTGTCAAAGAGCCAGGTAAGAACACACCTAACAAATTCCACATCTATTAATGAGGAACTGTGTGTGTGTGATTAACATGCATTCCTTAAGCATCACAAATACATGTCATTGTAGTTAAATGTTTATTATTGCTGTATAACCCCTGACAATAAATATGCATTAAAAAGAAAATAATAATGAATCACAAATGCTTCACCTTCATTATTTAGCAGATTTTTTTAATGCTTCGTATTTCTCTGCACCGACACTCCAGCTGTCGGCTCTTCATCTGCTCATTAAAGAGCCAAACAAAGAGAACGTTCAGTAAAAGCTCCTTTAACGACCATCATCACCCGCTGAGAAAGTCTGTCCTGTGGTCTACACCTTTACTGAGCGTGTGGGATTAATTTAAACACAGAGAAGAACCTCCATTATTTTTCCTTGAACACAGGCGCACCCTGCCGTGTCAAACGGGGCCGTAAACAGCAGCCCTGCTCCTCTGGGAATCTGCTGACTCCACAAAATCCAATCCAAAATCAGGATAGGAACAAGGAGAAAATTAGGTTAGGCGAAAAAAAAAAAAGAGGGGGTGGGTGGGGGCAAATATATCGTGAATGAATTCACAAATGTTGAAAAATGACCCTAAAGCACAAATATAGAACGACTTCTGCATGAGGTGGAGGGCCCAGGGATCAAAGAGGATTGGCCGAAGAGTCGGAAACGAAGCAAAGTAGGACAAGAGGGAAAGAGGAAGAGGCTTTGATGTTAACTGTAAAAGTTTGCTTTGTTTGTCTTTTTAGGTTACGACTCACCGGAACTGTCTACGCTTTAAACTGTATTTGCCTGAAGCTACATGCTTTAACATGCTCAGTCTGACAAACAGCATGCACATAAACACAGCAGATAACAAAAATCAAAAACCCACATCTGCATAAAATACAGCATTAACACATTTCACTGTATTATTCACGTGATAAAGTTTAAAGCTAATATTGGGTGAGGTGGTAGCTGAGTCTTCCTCAAAACGTCTTTGCAGCACGTCACTTTGATAAGATAAGATAAGATAAGATAAGATAAGATAAGATAAGATAAGATAAGATAAGATAAGATAAGATAAGATAAGATAAGATAAGATAAGATAAAACTTTATTGATCCCACAGTGGGGAAATTTGCACATTACTGCAGCTCAGTACAGCTACTTTGAAAAACATCCATTTAAGCCTGGAAATAGAGACCAAACCAACTCAGTTAGCTGTTGACAGTAATAACTATCTGCATAGTTTCTTTTTTTGATACATGCTCTCGAAACATGCAAGGAATTATTTTAATAGGATGCTAGCCTCAAACTWAAACTCACGCAGCAGCGCTTGGCTTGTCTTGTTTTTTTGCTTCTGCACTTGAGGACCTGGAAACATATTGGGTGGATACTTTTAGAGCCAGTTTCCAGAACAACTAATGATTGGAAAAATGACAGAGGGCAGCGCAACGAGTCATGAGTTCTTCCACTCTGGTGGAGGAATGTTTTTTTATCTATTCGTAGGTCAGTTTTGAAAGGCAACAAATCGAATTCCTATAAGATTTTTCCACGCCACAAAGAGTGATTGAAGTTCTGTGGCCTGGCTTGAAGATGTTAGTATTTTCCACTGCAGCKCTTCCTCTAATTTGGTAACATGTTCATCACTCATGGACTGCCTGTATTTTACAACAGGCARACGTGATTGGCAGCGCGAGGGCTTGACGGTTAGCACTGTTGCCTCACAGAAAGAAGGCCCTGGGTTTTATCCCCGGTTCGGATCAGGGGTCTTTCTCTGTGGAGTTTGCATTTTCTCACATTTGCATGGATGTTTTTTCAGCYTATACCAGTTTCCTTTCCACAGATTGCCTTCATGTCCATGCTTCCCTTACAAAAAAATGTGATCTGAATAGGATTTGCCTAGTTCAATAAAGATAAAAAAGTTAATACAGATCTTATAACCTGCAGAAAGCACCTGTAATACATGRTAAAAGGCATCAGGGTGAGTTCGATTCATGGCAAAATCCCAGACAAAACCCARGCAAGCATGAAGAGAAGATGCAAACTCCACACAGACAGACCCCAGGTCCAAACTGGGTGTAAATACATGTTCAGATTGGAAGTCCTAATAATTTGCAGAAAATAGATTAAGTTCTCAGTTAAACATTTATTTTCAAATCCAAAGACTCCTTTTCYCTCCAAACCTGTCTGCTTCTGAAGTCTAAATAAAAATGGCCGCCAATCACGTGTTACACATTACATGTGAGCGAGGCAAATACTAAATAGAGCAGGGAMGCACCAACATGAAAATTTCAGCCAATATTGATATCCAATATTATTATTGCTGCTATGGCTGATAACCAATAACACAAATTATTTATCTGTATAAACACACTTGTGTCTTTTTTCAAACTGTAAAAAAAACAAAAAACACCAGACTGCTGACATGGCTGTCTACTTCAGTTATTCCTGGCTGTGCAGCATCAATATTACTATCAAACAAATACCACTTGACCAACTATTTCCCCTCCCAAAGCAGAAACACAATTCTAAAAGTTTGGAAATCAATATCGTACGTTAATATCAGCCCAGTTTTACCTATCAGACTGARACCAATATTCTAAGAAATGACCAACATRGGCCGATACTGATGTTAATGCCAATATATTGTGCATCCCTAAAATATAGAGTTTTTCATACTCTTACTGTTTAAAGTAAATGACTACAACCGATTGCATAGTATAATATATAAGACTGTATCTGAAATTCAGTTACCGGTTGTTATGGCAATATTTATTTAACAAAGACAGAAATARGTGGTCCAAGAATGAAGGRACTCTGTGAGATGATCAGCTGAGTTTTATTGCAACAACAGGAAACACAGAGAATAACCTGGCCTGCCTCTGTGCCTCTGCTTCTCTCTGTCACTGTCTCTCCACACTGCTGTTGAACACTGTTGAACACTGTCTCAAGAGGCCTCATATATACAGTATATTAACATTCTGTCATCTTAGCAAGATTTGATACAAGGTCAATGGAAAACACAAAGATAAACCCAAGTGATATCTAAGAATGACTGTTGTTAGCAAATCTTGTTCTGACTTTAATCATTCTATCTGCAGATGAACAGCATGTCATGAAAACCTAGGTCATTAAAGGTTGTCATGAATAACTAGCTTAAACATAAAATTATTAGATCCATTACACCTCCCCCATCTGATCATTAAATCACCAATTAAATGATAAATAAAACAAAAAAACTCTTTAAGGTATTAAAAAAAACATGTCAACATAAACCTAAGTATATGTACTTTTCTAAAATCCCAACCACAGAAATTCCATTTTTATTCCTCCCACAGTAATTACTAACCCCCCAAAAAGTTATCACACAAAAGTCTTTGGATCATCTTGAACACAAACAGGATTGTCTGTTTTGTTATATGGAAGGGTCAGACGTGGTGGTAGGGCTCTGACTTTTTGTAGATCATGCGAGGAGCTGGAAGAGGAGGGTTAGCTGGATTTGGACATGACGTTTGTTTGAAATTAATCTCACCAGGTTCTTGTTGGGGTCTCAGAGTCCAAGAGATCCTCTGTTTGTGATGCTGATTCTGCAGGTTGAAGTAACT